GTTGTAATCTCTTTTGTTTTTTTGCTGTTCGAGCTGCCACTGTTGCAGGTTTTCTTGCCACTGCTGTTGTCTCTCTTCTTGTTTCTTTTCTTTTTCCTCCAACAGCTGTTGTAATCTCTTTTGTTTTTTTGCTGTTCGAGCTGCCACTGTTGCAGGTTTTCTTGCCACTGCTGTTGTCTCTCTTCTTGTTTCTTTTATTTTTCCTCCAACAACTGCTGTAATCTCTCTTGTTTATTTTGTTGTTCGAGCAACCACTGTTGCAGGTTTTCTTGCCACTGTTGTTGTCTCTCTTCTTGTTTCTTTTCTTTTTCCTCCAACAACTGCTGTAATCTCTCTTCTTGTTTATTTTGCTGTTCGAGCTGCCACTTTTACAGATTTTCTTGCAGCTGCTGTTGTCTCTCTTCTTATTTATTTTCTTTTTCCTCCAACAACTGCTGTAATCTCTGTTCTTGTTTATTTTCTCATTCTTCTTGTTTCTTTTCTTTTTCCTCCAACCACTGCTGTAATCTCTCTTCTTGTTTCCTTTCTTTTTCCTCCAACCACTGCTGTAATCTCTCTTCTTGTTTCTTTTCTTTTTCCTCCAACCACTGCTGTAATCTCTCTTCTTGTTTCTTTTGCTGCTCTTGTATTGCTGCCATCAAGTCTGCTAAGCTGTAACTTGATTTGCCGCTTCTCGTTTCCATTTTTTTGGTCCCACTCTCTGACACCAATTTGTTACCCTCCAGTCGTTAGTTGATTTTCCGTAACTTCGTTCCCACGAAACTTTAGCGACAAGTCCTTTCTTAATAAAACTGGTTTATTCTTTCTGAATACAACTTTGCGATACACTTAATTTCCACATTCGCGCTATAACAAACGCTATAATTCACAACAAACGTTTCACGTGCTCAACAATACGTCTCTCTCTCTCGGTCCGCAGTTCAATTACACATTGTTCCCGTCGCTTCTTGGCCGGTCTTATATATACAAGACTACCCCATATCTAGTAGTCTCCCGACGCTTCATGAACGTTCTAGAAGCGCGTGGCGTGTTACTAGAGTCACGTGACCTCCGCTGTCGTAACACTAGTATCCGTAAAACGTAGAAAGACAAACCGTTTTAACGCCTTCAGATGAGAATCGCCTTAAACGATTGGAGTATTCATATTCATCATGCTTCAATAAAAAAAATATGTTTACTATAGCTCTTAATGTTTTTCTTCATTATTTTCTATTAGACGATAACTTATTTACTCACGCGTCATTTAATTTCAACTTGCAGATTACTCTAAAATTTGTTTACATACTATTCAGATCCGAAAAGCCAGACAGTATAATGAGATACAAAATATAGAAAACACCTCTTAGTTTATTTTAACAGTTATCAAGTTGAATATGTTCGTTCACCGAGACACTCGTTTTCAAGACTTGGAGTGAAAACTATTATTCAAACATGATGTTCCACTAGCACACAAAGTTTCAAAATCAACCCTTATTTAAGCACGATGTTCTATAACGCAAAGCTTAAAATTCAACCATCATTCAAGCACAATTTTCCACAAAGCTAAACATCAACAATTATTCAAACACGATGTTTTACAAGAGTACAAGCTTAAAAATCAAGCATTTTTCAAATATGATATTCATAAGTACATAAATCTTAAAAATCTGCCATTGTTTAAACACATTGTTTAAATAATTATTTAATTACGATATTTCACAACGCAAAGTTTAAAAACCAACCATTATCCTGAACGATACTCCACAAGTACACAAAGTTTAAAAACGACTGACTTGTATGAATATCGTTCATTTGTAAAGAAAGCTGTGAACATTATTGTTCAATAACCATCCAAGATCACAATTCAAATAGCTCTAATTCATAATTAAAGCACTTTAAAACACACATTATTATAAACAACAAATTTATCTTTAAAGGGACAGTACCAGAGTTTAGAAGTAACCAAAACTTTAAAAAATATTACTTACAAAACATGAGATTCTGGTAAAATAATTAATTGTTCATAAAACAGGGGATTAAAAAATAATATTGCTCTAATGATATATAACAAATTAGATAAGGTTCACAAACATAAAAAGACTTAAGCATAAAGTAATTTTCATCATAAAAAACGAAGTTCTAAGAAAATAAAATTGTGTTTTCTAGCGCATTCTGGGCCATAAATAAACAGGCACATACCCTAAATTACATTGAAAGAAAATGTGGTCTTGAAAGATGAAGTTTTCAGTTGAGAAAATTTTATAGGTGCTCTAACGTCTGCTAATTTTTTAGTTTGGTTTATACAGTATAAGGATGGATGGGAGAAAGAAAAAGTCCTAGAGCGTTATCGTGCTGAAAATAACGATCGTCGTCGGTATAGCTTGACTGGTAATAAGTCTTTGAACAAAATAAGTGTAACAATCAATTAGACTTGTAGTAAGGCATTAGTACTGGGCCTATCATTTTTTAACGTTGTATTATTTATTTAATCCCTCAGTGATTTCAAGAATTGGAAGGTTGTATAGTAACAATAATATTCTAACCACACTATGTTTGACATATCAGTTGCCGACGGCTTGTTTCGCTCAATCTAAATACTAAAGTCTCATGACAAGTAAAATTAATTTTAATTATGCTTCGCCAGCTTTGAAAAGACTTTCATATCATAACATAACAATCAACTCGTCTTGATATGGACTTCAGTACCTTAATTAAATCTCGTAATGTTCTGAGGAAACATATTATTATGTAAATGATTACATAAAGGCATAGATCGATTTTAAGCTAGCTTAAGGCTAGTAACTAAGATTAATGAAACCTGCACTTAACAAATAAATTAATAATGAGCTACGCCTTTTTGAACTTTATGATTAAAGAATGGGAGGAGGTTCTTAAACTTTTGTTTATTTTCTTAGAGGGATTTTGTCCTTTGGGTGAGGTTCATCAAGAGAAATGTTCTTCATCTCCAGTCCTAGATGTCTGTGGAGACGACAACGACTGTCCTCGAAGCAAGAAATGCTGTAAAAGTGGCTGCTCTAAGGTCTGCGTCAACCCACTTCCTCGTCCTCCGGTTCGAACACGCAAGCATCGCGGACAAAATAACCCGCCAAAACTTTTTTAAATTGCAGCATTGTATCTGTGGTAGTGATATCTATTGGGAAAATGTTTAGATTTGTAATTTCCCTATATATTTTACATGTATAAAACTTAGCTTAGCTAACAATAAAACAAACCAAAGATAGCAACTTTGTCAAAAATTATCATTCTTTGCAGTACTTATTTATACGAAAAATTTGGAAAAAAGCAAAAAACAACTAAAATTTATTGCTGATTCTTTCGTTTTGAATAGGGTAGGGTTTCCATTGTGAATCTTTCTAACGTATTTTTTTCGTATTATATAAGCAATGAGAACATCATACGCATATTGAAGTTTTCATTGTTGTTTTTTTAATAATAACAACTTAGAAAACTTTAGTCATTTTGTATCATCATTAGATTTATTAAATTGGTTTGATTTTCTTTGTTTTGAATTATGTTTATTTCTTACACGGGAGTGCAAATCTATACACGTTAGAACTAGCATTTATTTATTTACTTACATTTATATAATTTTTAAGGAATCAATAGAAAAAGACCGCTATGACTAAAAACGTGCTAGTATTTTCATTAGATTTTATGGATCGAGCATGGTCATAGTCGCCAATGACTAATGTGGTAGGTATGTAATATTTTCCTGAAGTGGTGATTAAATAAAGTTAAGTGTACAACTACTTACATCCTGTTTGCAAGACTACTGACCAAATGCAGAACACCTGTACGAAAAATTTAACCCTAGGATTACCGATTGGATCCGTTAAAGTATCGTTTTTAAAAACACATTTTTCTAATCTATTGTTACGACAGCGGAGGTCACGTGACGCTAGTAACACGTCATATTCTCGAAGGTTCGTGAATCCTCGAGTGTTTACAAGATGTGCGGTATTCTTGTATATATAAGACCGCCAAGAAGTGACGGCAACAATGTAATTGAACTGCAGACAGAGATAGAGACTGACAATTGAGTCGAGC